CTGCTCCCGCCGCTTCCACTGGATCCGTGCCAAGGACGAGGCCTACCAAGCATGCAAGAGCGAGGGCCAAGAGTGGATTCAGCGGTACGTAGCCTGCTAGAAGTGCTATCAGCCGCAGGATCTTTGTCGAGTAGCCGACCCGGACTCTAAAGAGACTAAATGCCGCTTCCCGGACATGGTCATACCGCTCTGCTACGGAGTCTATCAGCGACCCGGGGGCCAGGCGTGGTTGCAAAAGCACTTCCAGCGCTTATTCGCTACACAACTCGATTACATGCTCTGGCTCGGGGAGACGGCGTTACTCGAAGGGAATAAGTGCATTTAAGCTAATTGTGTAGCCGCGCAAATATTAGTCGAGCTTAAATAAAAAAGTTATTAAATTTTTTTAATAATAATAATTGCTAATATTTTAATTAAAAAAATTAAATTTTTTTATAATAATAATCGCTAATATTTTAAATAAAAAAATTAAATAAAAAAATAATTAATTTTTTTTTTAATAATAACCGCTAGTATTTTAAATAAAAAAATTAAATAAAAAAATAATTAATTTTTTTTTAATAATAACCGCTAATATTTTAAATAAAAAAATTAAATAAAAAAATAATTAATTTTTTTTTTAATAATAACTACTACCCCCTATGCGGGGCGCACCTTTCGGTAAAAGGTGAAAATGCGCGTGCGCTGATTGGTGCGTGCACGGCTGACTAAGGCGTTTTCCGGTAAAAGGGATTTCGGTAAAAGGAGATCTTCCCTCCCCCTTCTAAGAGAAGCATTCCTTCGCCCCTAAGCGCGCTCTCGTGATGTTTTCATATCATCCGACGCACAAGGTTGCTATTTGCTATGTTTGCAAGTCTTGCATCGTCCCAGGGGCGAGTAGTCAAGAGCGGCACCTGCGAGCGCAGCCACACCGACTCTTAGGGGATAAGCTTAAGGCGACTGCAGAGCTTCTTATGAGCTACGACCTGAGGAGTGTAGCGGAGCTTAGAGAGCACAAGCCCTAGCCTGAAGACAAGTGTCAGATGATTAAGCATCTGGTTAGCTACGATGGCGTCTATTGTCTACGGCCGCGGTGTAGCTATAGCACTCGCCGTCTCCTTAAGATGAAGGAGCATTGGGCTACTTGTTATAAGACCAAAGCTAGATCTCGCGAGAGCAGCTAGTTGTGGAAAGAGTGCAAGCTATAGACGTATTTTACTGGGAAAGGCCGTATTGATTATTTTGTTGTAATCGAGGGTAAAGAGCCCGTAGACAAAGCGTCGGCGAACAAAGCGCTAGCAAACAAAGAGAAGGCCTTGTTTAAACAATTAGAAGAAGATTATAAAGATGCAAGGGGCGATCTCGAAAACTATACTAGGATTGTTTATGATTTCGGGGATTCTCGATCGGAGAGGGTTCCATGGCTTAAGCGGATAGACTTCCCATCTCACCTAGCTAGGCTAAAGGACGACGAGATTAAGAGCTCGTACGCCCTGCCGCCAAAGAAGGTGCTAGATGCCGGTGCCGAGAATGCTAAGGATCCTAATCTCGTCCGAATTCTAGTTGCAGCTAAGGCTGTTTTGAGAGACGCGTACTAGCTTTGCAGCGACACCTCGCTAGACCGGAAAATGACATAGCAGCGGGCCAATATCCTGAACGAATTCTACGCCGGGGCATCAGGAAGGGCAGACGGGTTCCGGTACTACAAGAACGCGTCGACGCTAACTAAGTACTTCACTACTACGAAGCAGCTGCTGGCGTACTACTACCGGGTCGTATACTGTGAGGAGGGCCACTTTACGCGGACTCAGCCAGACTAGAAGCTGCCCCAAGACGTCATCCAGCCTACTGCTTAGCAGGTCCAGGCTATGGACGAGATCATAGAAGCCCTAGCTCTTGAGGATGAGGAAGAGGCTACGCTGGCGCTCAAGCATGCCATTCGACGGCTCTACCTCGCCCTGATCTGTCAGACGGTTGGGAGCGTGCCCTTCAAGTCCCCAGTGCTTAGCTTCTGTGCCATGCTTAGTCGCAAAGTGCGGGGCAGTGGGGTAGGCTAGGGCCAGTGGATGGAGCCGGGCAACTACAATAGCCACTTGTCTGCCTTAACCTAGACGGCTCAGATGGTGCTCTTCGACTATGCCTGCTTTCAAGAGCAAGAAGATGAGGACTAGATTCCTATTTTCTTAGCTAAGATCTGCAAGAAGTTCTTCTAGTAGCTAGCCGAGACGCCCTTTGGCCACATCTTGCAGTAGCGGCTCTACCTCTTTAAGGTGGGCAAAGCTGCTATTGCTAAGCACTAGGCCCGGTGGTCCTTAGACGGTCAGATAGTCGGATACCGAGGAGTAGAGCTACAGATGGCCCAGATCTCGCAGCTAGTCCTATCTGAGTACTAGCAAGCCTACTCTCTACTACACGATGAGCTAATGTTTAGTGCCCGAGACTTAACGCCTATGGAATCGTGGAGGCTAAAGGACGACTTAGACCTGGACGATTTTAGCGGCTCTTGGCTCTCGCATGCCCACAATGCCGAGTTCTTAGAGGGTGCTAAGCAAGCTCTGCTCCAGCGGATCCAAGGCAGCACTAAGCTTCGGGCTATGTTCTTAGCTAATAGGGACGGTAGATGCAAAGCTCTCAACCCTACAGCTATAGCCATCTACGAGGCACACGCTTAGGACTTCCTTAAGCGGCTATTAGTCCTCTGCCACATTGCACCTAGCCCCCCGCTGCGGGCCCTAGAGCTGCTGTTAGTCACGTGGCGCAATACAGCTCGCTAGCGCCACTTGTTCATTTGGGAGAAGCTAGTCATGATCTATACGCAATACTATAAGAGCCAGCAACAGTCAGGCGCCTACAAGGACAACATCCGCTTCTTGCCTAAGGCCATTGGCGATCTACTCCTTACATACATTGCCTACGTTTTGCCTC